ATTACAATGGATTTCAATCACTTTTCGTGGGAACGGGTGTTAACAGACTGAAGGATGTGGAAAAGTTGCGCAACAGCGGCAATGAGAAAATGATGCAGATGGTGCCTGATGCCTATTTGCCCAAACTGGGTCTTATACATGAATTTCTATCATAGTTGAGCGTAAATAAACTGAAAGGGGATGAGCTAAGCTGGCAAGACATCTAACACGGATCAGTTTTAACCATTTTAGCTCATCCTTTGCTTTAATTTCTGCCTGCATACAAATTGTAAATTAGCATTGACTCCGATTGCCATTCCAAAAATCAATATAGACCATGCGCTGGCTGAAGAGTGAAAATTCATTCACGTTTTGTCTCCTTTCACATTTCCTTTTTTTTCCGTTTTTTTAGTGTTGATTTTTCTCTCGCTTGAAGTGTCGGCCACAGTCTTTGCTCTGACTGCGGGATCCTTGTCAAAGTTTGAACAAGTGCAGACAGAAGTGAACCGCCGCCGCAGAACTCGACACATTGTCAGCGCCACGCCATTGTGTCGCCTCTCGCCTGTGGGCGGTGCGGCGGTGGGGTGGTGCGTTGGTGGTGCCCCAACCTCTTGCTCTTACATATTTCACACCCATGCACTTAAGCCGGCCGTCGGTCGCTGCCGGGGACAGACGACGCGTTTTTCAAGCGCTTTTCGGCGTGTCCAAAAATAAAATCCTTCAGTGGCCAGTGGCCACTGTTGGCGACAGCTGCGAACGGCATTAAAAATATGGCCTGCAAAATGTTGTAGCACACTTGTCGTCGAGGCGCCACGTGCGATTAGGGTTTCCGTTGTCCTTTTTTGATACCCTGTCTGTCAGGGCAAGTGTTAAGCTGGCTTGTTACCTAAGTGTTGCATTCTGCAACATGCTCAATAGCAAATTAAAGAATTAGGGAATTAGAGTTTAAGAAAACTACTAAGTTTGTTATAAAAAGGTGCTGCAAAAGTGGTTCTTGGCCTAAAGTTGTATGCGTCATCTGGCAAGCTAATAGAATAAGACGGGATATCTCCAATGTATTCGATATTAAATTTTTCGCTAGCTAATTGCCTAGACAGACTAGACAGCTATAAATATTAAAAACTCAAAGCTGTCGGTTTTTCGATTTAGGATTCGAATCAACTTTCTGGCTTTAGCTTTGAACACAGCTTTTGCTTCAAGCCTTGTCACACTTTTGAAGTTATAATAAGACAATCCAATATTTAATTTATGATTTTATAAAATGAAAATGAACCAAAACCTTTTGAAAAAAGAATATGATTTTGTTCGGGGTTCCGTCTGGCTGTTGTTGGTCGAAGACTCGATTTGGGATAGAACAATTAATTGCATTTCGAGCTCGAGCTATTACGGTTCAAAATCAGTTTATTGATTCCAGATATATTTAAAGCTATTTATAACTAATTTATTGTAAATATTTCGTCAGGCGTTGCGCGAAAATCTAAATTACGCAATATCTCAGCCGGATAATCTGTGCTTTTAATTTTATAAATAAAATCCCCTAGCCAAGAACGCCCTTAGACAGTGAATAGAGCATTGCATAATCGGTTGTATGCGAATTTCGCTTGTTTAATACCCCATTTTAATAGGGTAACATACGGCCAGCAATTTTATTTCTATTGTTATTTTGGGCATGTTGTTTTTTTAGCCAGCCACGCGCCATGTAGAACACTTAATGCAGTATGTTCTCATTGTTAGCCGAGTGTTGTTTTTATTTTGACTATGGTACGTTGGCTGCCAAACCAGGCAACCAGCCGTACAAATGGAAGCTCAGCCGAGTTGTGGGTGGCAATATAATTGCGGGCGTTCAAAGCTAATTGTATAAGCTGCGGGGCTGTGGAGCTGCGGAGTCAGTGCTCAATGTTTAGTGCCTGGAGGCGTAGTTATGCTCTAACTCGAAGCTAGTGAAGCAGCAGCCGCAGGGTAGTTAAGATCTTCGTGGCAGATACAAAGCAAGTGCTTGTCATTTGGCCAAAAAGTATTGCCCTGGGAATACGGAAGTCGAGTTTTGTCTGCTTTGTAGTTTGCAGTTAATGTAAAAATGCCTTGAAAACTAAGCGAAAGTTGGCTAAGAACTTGGCATTTGGCAATTTGAGCAGCACATGGCCATGATTAATTAAATTTGAAGCTTTGCAGCTTCGATGTGCTTGTAGCTGACAAAGGCAGCTAATTAATTTGCCAACACCATGACGGGGTCAACACCTCTTGTGCTTGTGACAAAGCACAATGTTGATATCGTTTGTCAAAGGCTGGAGTAGCAAAAATACAACAACAACAAGAGTATCGGCGACATAGACTCATCATCATCCTGCCTTCGCTGCGCCTGATAATCCCCATGGCATTAAAAACACATCAAACTGTTTAGACTCCGTTGACAAACAGAAAGTCATCAGCACTAAAAATAACTCTACTTGGGGTCTGTCTGGGGTTTGTTGTTTGTTGTTGTTGCTGCGCCTTTTAAACGACCTCTCACTGTTGACATTATCCGAGCTGATTTATTGTCTTTATCACAAAGCCAAGCGGCACTCGAATGTGGCAAGCATAATAAAGTCTCAACAAAGGCGCGAGAGTGAGAGCGAGCGAGCGAGCGAGTGAGCGAGCGGCTCGCTCTTGTTTGTTGCCACGGGCAACCATTTTCAATCTGTGGCAAATTTTCATAGCCCACTTCTGGGCGCATCCATAAACGTGCCAAATAATTTAGCTGCGTCTGGTTTGGGCTACGCACACGCATAAATTTACCGATTCTCTAATTAGTTGTGCATTTATTTGGTTTCTCTTTGCTGCCGTTTATGTCTTGTGCTCACGCATAATGCGCGTAATTCAATTGGGCCAATTAGCACCTGCTTAAAAGCACCTGCTTAGTAGGCTCAACTTTCTAAGTTGCGCAACAACTACTCTGCCAACGTTATAATCTCTTTGGAGTGCCCTTGCGAAGCTGCAGGGTATGTGCTTGTACATAACTCTCAAAGACGTGGTTTTTGTGTGCATTATGATTATATTGATATTCCTTTGTGGGCTGAACATAAACTCTGAGCGCGGTTTGCAGTTGCGCAAAAAGTACCATGCTTACGTGCAATATACTTTATAACAGCAATTGGGTATTTTTAGTACATCATATTCTTGGTGTTTAGTACATTTAAGTTGAGCAAAGACCACCTTCTTCTAAGCTAGCTAGGCATTTGCGTGTTAATATTATAAGTTTTTAGGCTAGAGCTAGGAAGCTTGGAGCTTGATTTCTAGCACGCCTGAAGTTGCTTAAAGGCCAGGAAGATATTTTGTAATCGTTTCTTAAATAGATACAGGGTACTTTCTAGTCCAGCATTCTCAAAGACATGCTTTTCCGAACACCCCCATGATTATTAGAGGGATATTCCTTTGTGTCCTGGCGTCGGCGACATAAACTCTCGAGCTCTCGCCACGTGCTTAGCATAGGCAAATGCTTAAAGCTCTGCGTAATGCCCTCCCCTCGGCTCCGATTAGCCTTGGCTTAGCATTTCTTAGGTGCGCCCTTTTGTGGGCGGAACTTATAAATGGAATGGAAAGTGGCCATTCCAAAGACTCGTTACCAATTTCAATCTGTGTGCCTTGAATGTAGTAGACCTTAACTATTACGCGTATATTAGCATTTAGGATCTGTGGAAATTATGATTTTATTTCCAGCAAATTGTCTTCCATTCTTCAATAAAAATGTCAAACAGCTGTTTCTTGAATTTTCACAATTATTGAAATATATTTTTTATTGAATCTCACGAGCAAATATTGAACTTGAGTTGTGGGTTTTTCTTTTAAATATTATTATATTTGATTTTATTAAAACTAAACTAAAGCTAAGTTAAATTTGTATTTAATTCGCAATCTCTGTAGGTCGACAATATATGCTTTGCATTAACTATATAATTATCATATAGGAAATATATACAGAATCAGTTAGCATTTATAATTTTATACAATAGCAACGTTTTTTGGTTTTTTTTTTGTTTGGGAGGTAAGTTGAATAAATTCAATTTATGAACACCTGAAAATGTCTTTTACCATAGCAAAGTGTGTTTGTGTGTAAGTGTAATTGTAATGTAATTGGTAAATTGAGCTACTTTCGAGTTGATTCGAGTTGATTCGTTTTTTCTTTTTTTCTGGATTTGTGTTAAGGGGGGTGCTTTAAAAAGAACCAATTTAATCGAATTTACCGTCTTTCTGTTGAGTGAACTTTGAGCTTAACTTTTTAACTTTCCGACAACTTGACATATTGCAACGTCGAACCCAAAAGTCCAATCGCCAAAAAAATATGAACTGCTATCGATAACAAAATGAAAAAGTTTTCTATAATTTGAAGCTAACCAATCAGCAACAAGAGAGAAAATAAAATCATAAAGGAAATGAAAAAAAGGAAAATCATTTATCAAGTTTTGCTGAAAAATGCAGTATATATTTAATTAAAAGCGAAAATTTGATGCTAATAAATAAAAGTTCCTTGTGGAAAAAGCTGGGCTATGGCCCAGCGGGCTTGGGTCAGCTCAGTTTCGCGGACTTCCCCTTTGGGCATTAATCCATCGAGTTGGGCGTGAAAAAGTTTTACGGCTTAATTTCGTGCAAAATTGAAACAAATTCAATTGATTGAGAGAAACTGAAAGCCGAAAATAATTAACAATCTGGTGTGTGTGTGCATTTTGTCCAACAAGTACAGCAAAATTTCATATAGCACGCTTTGACTCTTCTAAGAATTTTGTGCTCGAAATGCATTTATGCTTGAGCGGTTTAATAAAGGATATTGGGATTACGCTTAGATATAGCTAAGTTCTTCCACCATAAATTTTCTAGAACAAATTAAAGCAGCTGCGAACAAAGGTTGGATAAAATGACGTCGCCAAGTATCACATATCGAGGACGTACTTGTTGTATAGAAAGGACGTTGTCGACATTTATACTAAATGTATATATTAATATAGTTTCAAAGAGATAAATGTATAAGGGGCATACATGTACAACATTTCAATTAAAATAGTTTTATGCCTAGTTTAGCTCTAGTTTATCCAATTCAGTCTAGCAACGCGGTTAGCTATTTGCTCAATCTGTTTCTGTGCTGCCGTCCATCTAAAGTCAGTCTTTCATCCAGAAAACTGCCAGGAAAATATATTTTGTATATTAACAAACAACGTATTCATGTAAGGTAGAACGAAAATGAATTAAAAAGTGTATTGGGTATTATTTAAAAGGAAATTTCCGTCTCTCAAATTATTTGCGTGTTTTTCTGAAATTTTGCTGTACCTTTTGTGTGGCCTATTAGCTATTTGTTTGGTTATGTAACGGCTAGAGCTGTCGAAGAGAACTTGAAGTAGAGAAAATGGAGAGAAACACTTAACGCTTATCACAAAGTAACGCGACGCTTGGCGCGCTCAGATTTACACACTAAAAACATGTTTAAATAGATGTATATATATATATATATATATGTATATATATATGTATAGTTATTTACATATGTAGACTAGTTGACTAGCGATTACACTACACTGTATGTGCTTGTGCGGCCTCAAAAGCCGGAGGAGACGTGTCCCAACTTCTTGCCATCCACGGTCCAGTCGTAGCCGAGCGCCGTATTATTGTTGGTTGTCGAGTTGCTGGTGGAAACGGATCGATGCATTTCACGTGGACCCGGATAATAGACGACCGGACCGGGTGATGGGGCCCGATTCCGTTTGATCTTGAGCAGACCGGGCGAGCCGGACACCTGGGTCAGCCGCACGCTGTTCAGTGAGCTGTTGCCGCCACCGCCGCCCGTGGCGACCAGATAGGTTGTGGTGGTGCTGCGCTGGGTGCCGTGTCGCGAGAAGCGGCCGGACGAGCGATGGTTTATGGTGCCGTCGCCGTTGTTCGAAATGGAGCTCTCGTAGTGTATAAGATCCGGCTGGTCACGACTCAGGCGTCGCTTGAAAAAAATGAGTAAAAAAATGCGCTTGAACTTCTCGCCGAATATGATATAAATGAGAAAGTTAACGCTGCTGTTGATCGTTATAAGCAGATTCGAGACTTTGGTCACCTTGTGATCGATCACACTGTAGAACGCCTCCGAGATGTTCAGCACCAGCGGCAAAAAGTTGAGCATAAAAAAGACAATGACCACACACAATAGCATTGTGGCCAGCCCGATCTCACGCTTCTCCGATCTGGACAGCCGCTGGCGTTCCCGATTCGCACGCTTCACCTGCCTGTAGATCAGGCAATTGAGTATGGCCAGCGTGAGGAAGGGTATTATATAGTTCACAATCAGATAGCACCAGTGTATGTATATATTAATGTAGGTCGGATTCCGTCTCAGTGGCGAGGGCCGCACGCAGTGCAGCACATCGGTCGAGTTGGGCAGCTGATAGCTCACCCTAAGCACCTCCCAAAACCGTGGCATATTGTAGGCGAGTGAAAAACAGACGCACACTATGAAATATATCTTGGCGCGTCCGTAGGTGCACAGAGCACGCGCCCGCAACGGATGACAGACGGCCACATAGCGCTCCAGGGTGACGGTGAAGGTCATATAGATGCTGGCGGTCTGCGCAATCATGCCAATGGGAAACATTGCCGGCGATATGAACGGATACACATAGTTGTAGTAGCCAAAAAAATGGCCCGTATATGGATAAATGGAGGGTATGCCAAACAGCAGCATGGAGCTAATAATCAGCATCGTGTCGCAGCGCGCCAGGCCAGTTAGCAAATAATTAATGCTGGACCGCATTTGGGGGCGGGACAGGATTATCATGGATATCACATTGCCCAGTATGCCCAGTATGCCAACAATGTTAAGTATGACGCCGCATACCCAAAACTCGATGCGATTATTCTCCAGCTGCGGATTGTAAACCTCCTCACAGATGCGCGTCCAGTTCGGCTCATCGCCCATATCCTCCATTTGCGGAAAGAGATCTGTGTACGTATCGTTGCCATTATTTGTGGCAGAGCTGCCATTGAACAGCAGACGCTGGCCCACATCGTATATCAAGGGTGCCAAAGTGCTGCCCAGCGGATCCGTTAGCTCATAGCGCACCGCATCCTCCTGACTGCGACCCGTCGCGCTGGCCAGAAATTGATCCACGCTGATGGGCGCCCAATCATATTCGGCGGGTGCCGGTGGCGGCATTACGCCCGGCTCTGGCTGCTCCAGGCGCAACAGCAGCCTTGCCGCTGCGGCGCTCATGGATGCTACTCTATTTGCTGTTCCAATCGGGGGAGGAGGCTACCTGGCGGCTGTGGCTAGTCGGCTGCGTAGCATTTAAACATTTACCTCGCAACTTTTGCCGTAACATAAATTGTGTTGCCGCAATTGTTTTGTTAGCTGTTGTTGCTTTTGTTGTTTTTGTTGTTGTTGTTGCTGTTGTAGCTGTTGCAGGGTCACACCTGAGCACACTCACTTGGACACACACTGTTGCTCCCTCGTCCGTCGTCCTTGCCAGTGCGGGCGTGACTTTGACTTTGTGTCGCGTTTTGCTTGCCTTTCCGCTTATGCTTCACACTGTGAGCAGTGCTTTTAATAGTCCTGCTGCTGCTGCTGTTGCTGCCACGCGTCGTTGACACTTTAAGCTGTAAGAGAGGAAATGAAAAATGGAAGGACTTTAGTACAAGGCTTTTGTTGGTCAGGTGACGCTTAGCGCTCAATGCAAGAACAAACTTTTGCCCCCAAAACTTGCTTATTTGTCCAGCAATTGATGCAGAAACTAAGAGTGTCCAAACTTTTTGCAGACAGTTTTTCTATTGATATTAATTGCTTTTTCCAGTAAAACAACATTTGCACCTGGTTTCCTTTTGGCAATATATTAATATTGTGTGTATTAAATGTAGATATGCAAGTGCACAAATGTGGACAGAATAAAAAAGTGCATAAGTTAATAAATATTTAATTCCTCTTTAGAAATTTTAAGCTTTTCGGTGTACAGCTAATCTAAAACGTTTTTATTGTATTTATTAAATGCAGCCACACAAGTCAATAAAATTGTGGACATAATTAAACAGTGAATAATAATATTTAATTCCTGATTGAAAAATGTAAGCTGTTCAACGTAAAACAAAGCTGAAGCCAATAATAAATTACAATAAAAATGACGAGTAATTATTAAATGACTGCAATGTTGGAGCTCTATTATTTAGATTCGGTGCTGAATAATACAAATAAATAATACTATAAATAATAAACACACAAAAAGTTTTCATTTTCCTCATTCCCACCTCATGCTAACATTGGCTCATGGGAAGGGTTGAATGCACCCGGAACCGCTGCTCGATCTGTCTGTCATATCTCATTAAAAACCACTTGATGTTCTCATAAATTATTTTAATTTCTTTTCATTACTTGCGGGAACCTCTAGTTCCGGTGGCGACGTTTTTGCGAATGTATATATATTGCATATTCATTTAAAAACCAATTTCATTTCCATTAAAGTGAAACACAATTTTATAATTGATTTCTCTAATAAACAGAGTTCATTTACAAATGAATCTTATAATCACTTTATCAATTAGTCGAATTACACACTAATCCGTACACTTATTTAAGGACATTGTTTTCGTTTCCTTATCAATTTGCGGTGGCATTCGATATCCTTGGGAAATTGTTGCCGCTTCTAAGTATCACAAAACTGATATGCAGTCATTCATATAATCCTATTATGCAACCTTTTCACACATCAATCAAATTAAAGTGGCCGAACTCAAGCCACTGGCGCTCGCACACCTGCGGCATCAAATTCCTTGGCCTCCTTCATTCACACCGCCCGCCCACCAATTAGGCAAACAAATCAAGCAAAACACGCGCACATAATAATAAAACACGTAAAAATATACACCTGTCGAGGTTGATCGACTAGCAGTTGCCCTGCATCCATCTAAAGTGAAGTCTTCGGTTGGCGAAAATATTAAAAGAAATTCAAATAAACTTAAGTGCGGGCTAAACCGAAAGCTATACAGGAAATATTGTGTTTTCAGCCGTTAAGTTCAATGTCTTGGATTAAATATCTTTGCATTTAATTTGAATACCCAATGTATTTATGTGCATAGATACAGGGTATAAATACATTGCCTCCGAAATAGAGCGCGCGCCTATCGTATAATCAAATCAATTTAACACATGGGAGCTCTGAGCTTAATGCCGTGTTGGGCATGATTTGTGGCCGCTGGAGGAAAAGGCAAAAACAAAAAAGAAAAAAAGCAACTAGCCAGTTGTCGTTGTGCCAGGTGGTTGTAGTTGTGGTTGCGACCGCAGTGCAACCACAATACACAGTGGGGAGTGCATCATTGGCTGGTGCAACAAGACGTATGCGTATGTTTTGCATTTAGAATTTGTTATTCCAGCAGCTGCAGTAAATCGCCTGGGGCCAACTTTTTGTAGTCACTGTAACTGAAACGGTTTTGTCTGGTAGCAGCGATTTCTAACAGATGCAGCCAGCCGCATACGCCACACGGCCAGCAGGTGTCACAGAGCGTTTCCATTGTCCGACAAATGTCGGAGATGCCACGCTCCGTTTGCGGCCCGCTTGTGTGCAAAGGCGATTATGGCAATTAAATGCCAAATTTGGAATGCCAAAGTGTCCACAACGGCTGGCTGCTTCGGTTTGGCTTTCGGGTCCAGCAATTAGCATGTCTATTAGATTTAATGCTTGCGACCCTTTTTGGCCCCCTTTGGAGCTGGACGGCTTGCACGTGTTCTCATGCGCATATTTTCGTTTATGGAAAAGGACCTCAGGCCAACCAATTAGCTTGGCATTTCCGTGTCCAGCTTTGACTGACACCATGTTTCTTTTTCCTTTTTTTGTTTGTGACTTTATGCTTACAAGTTTTTCAATTCGAAGCATCTGTCGTCTTGCAAAAAGTATTTGGGCAATTTGGGGCTTGCCAACTTCAGAATTTAATTTCTAATAATAAATAACAAAACACAGTTGGCTGTGCTTCAAAAGTCATAAAAGGTAAATGCATATATTTCGGATTGTCTCTTCAAGTTTTCGTTTAAAACATTCAAAGGATAAAATGCCAATGATATTTGTTTCACTTAGATATTGTGTTCAGAAATGGATTTCTTTGAGGTATTATTGAGAAATACCTAAATAAATTTAATAAATTTTTAATTTATCAAAATAGCTAGCAGGAGGAATAAAATTATGAACGTTAAAACAGCAAGAGGCTTTAGTCGGGAGTACCCGTCTAGGGTATACCCTGAACCCTCTTCTACCAACAGCAAATGCAGCTCGCGCAATTAAAAGTTTCCTCAATTGCACTCGAACCCATAACCAAGCGAAAAGTTTGCCACCGCCTTGGCTCAACAGTCACACCAACAATTTATTTTCAATGAAAAATAATATGGCTATATAATGAAAATTACTTGATCTGTATGTACTATTATAGAGGCTACAAGTCAAATTTGTTGACTCTAACTCTTAAAACCTAAGAGAATTGCTTTAACACAGGATATCGATATCGATTCTTATCGATTGCTTGGGAACAAGAAAGCACTTAGAGGATCTACGTTTAAAATTTAAAGTCTCTAGCTCTTATAGGTTCTGAGATACTTGCGTTTATAAATACGGACGACTCGGCTACTGATGCAGATCAAGAATATATATACTTTATGGGGTCGGAGATGCTTCCTTCCTGCCTGTTACATACATTTGCACACAAACATAATAGCCTTTTTACACATTTTCAATGGATGCAGGGTATGCAAATTTGTCAGCACACTTTCTAATTATTAATTCATGTCAAAGATTCAACTTGTCGTTGACTCAAAATAAGTTTTAGTGTACTCAAACGCATTCGACTTAAAAGGTTTAGTTTTTACTTCAATTAAATATTTGTTCTTTTGCTCAGTCTAAATAAAATTTATCATGCACTTCTGTTGGCTTGTTTCCAGCATATGTATGTATATATTATTATATATATATATTATTTTTCCCTCTTTAAAACACTTTAAACATTTAATAGAAATAACTCATAAACTAATAATCATACCTACATGAATACCCTAATTAAAATAAATGCCAATTAAATTAGGCAAATGGAAATTTGCTAAACTAGGACAACGCCACAAAGGAATTAATTTCGGATTTTGAACTTAATGCAATTAATTGCACTAAGCCAGCCCGTTTCTTATGCTCAAGCATTTTGCTAATTACTTTCAAATGTCAAAGCAATTTTAACAAATACACGGAATCGAGCGCATCATGAAATTCGGTTGTAATGCGTTAAGGAGCTTAAAAGCCGCAGTCATATGAAGGTCATGTTCTCGGAATACAATGTGTTATGGCATCAGCTAAATGTAATGCTTGTATCCGACCCATTGCATCTGTTAATTGGAATAAGTTGAGCTGGCGGCTGGGTGACATGCCGATTGCAACAAGGCGACGTAAACAACAACATGCGGCGACAATAGCTTCAATTAATGTTTCATTTTGTAAATGACACTGAACTTAATTGTTTAGCAAGCAATTTGCATGTCGAATTCCAGCTGGAAACGTGTCCTGCAAGGATTTTCATTACTGTTGCACAAGGAAGCAAACAAAAAACTGTGGGCGGATATTGCATGCATAGTTTTGCCGCCTAACGAGGCGACTGACAGTCTGCATTTCATTTACCCAACACTTGCCGCAACCTACCCCTCAGCCTTGCCCCATCACTCCCTGTTTGTGTGGGCGTACAACTTTTGGCATGTGTTTAGTCTGTTTTTTTTTTTTTTATTTCGTCGACGTTTCTCTTCTTCTTTTCTATGTGTCAACTGGCAAACAGCAACGCGGTCGCTTGGCTTCACTGGGCGTATGCTTAATATTTAAAAATTTAGGACTTCAGCTGTTTGCACTCATGGAGGGCAGCAACTCGTTGCTGCAATTTTTCTAGTCCATAATTAATGGCGTCCACTTGGCATGCTTTGTAAATTGTAAACTACGGGAGCGTTAGAAAAATAAACGGATAATAAACGCCCAGCTGAAAGTTGTGTGGCTTAACAGAAATTAGTTAACTTTGTGGCTTACTCTTGAATATTTAGTGCCTTAATTTGCAGCAGTTAAAATATTTGTAAGTTACAATTTCTTTAAATCTAGGTGTAAAAGGTAAAATTAAGACAGAGATAAAGACTTAAAAATGCTTGAAAAAAACGCTTGCTATGAATAAGTTAATTAATTAGACCCATATCTTGTATGTCATCTTTTCAATTCGGCTCAAAAAAACAGGCGCTACTTAAATATTAAATTTAACCTTGAAACTCTAAATTTTCGAGATCCAGCTAAATAATTTATAAAATGGAAACGAAACCAAAACCAGCATTAAAAATTATTAATAATTACAATGACTTTTGTTTACCACAGATAAACCAAGTTCCTTGGTTCCTTTTGGCTGCCTTTATTTTAAAAATGACTTCTCAAACCGTTTAATTGGCAAAAAATATTTCTACAATCGGTTACTATTTAGTATATAATCTCTATACATTAAAGTGTACGTTTTGACTGACTGGCTGACTGACAACGCACAGAACAAACCGCCAGACCTAGGAAGCTGAAAGTTTCTTTGTAGTTACCTTATTATTAGTGCTCGCTAAGACGGAG